AGACCCTACGTGTGTTCTTAAGTACAAATTTCACTGCAGCTCCGTGTTTTCGTTGTTGTCATTTATGTCACTGGATCGGCTTCTTTCTCTTCCCAGTTTGACTACGATGTTTAGCTGCCGAATCCCATTGTTTGTCTGGGAATTCCGAGGGTGTATGAAGGCCAGCGCTTGCTTTGTGCAGTGTCTCAGTGTGTATACAGTAGGTGTGTTAAGCAGTTTCTTCCTGGTATTGTGGTGTCAGGGCCTCGGGGCGAGTACAGGGGTTTACCGCCTGGTGATGGCAGAGCGAGCTTCACTTTACAACAGGACAAGAGCGAGAAACAAAGGAGTGAGTGGGAGTGTGATGTGTGATGTGCGATGCTTGACTCACCCTCTGGCCTGCAGGCTCTGTGATCAGTGTAAGTCACACCAGTGCACTGACAGCTAAGAGTGTGTGTGTGGAGGCTTTGATGAAGCCGCTGGGACGACACATTCCTCTTTTTGTGTGTAATTTTTTATTTATTTTTTCACCTGTATGAATCACACACATAAATACCTAATTCTTTGTTCAATTCTGAGGATGATGTGATGAGTATTGAGGGCAGAGTGGCTTTTAATGTCGGCTGTACGAGCCACTGAGGAGGAAAACTTTATCCAAAACTCCATCACAGCAGTTTACGGCACGCATGCAGAGTTTGTGTGTTTAAAAAAGATTTTCCAGATAAAATTAGGGGTAAAGTGGGATTTAATTTACAAGCTAAACACAGTGATAAGCAGCCGACTTTATCTCTGAATGATCGGCTGAAACTTGACACGTTTAGTGATTTAACAAGGGTTTTGTGTTTGAAGGATCTGCGGTGAAATTCTGCCAAAACAAAGAGAGGAAAGGGGGCGGACGAGGGCGAAGGGGCGAACTCTGGGGCAGTCTGTACCACAGGGGGTGTAAGCATTAGTTTAAGTGTGTGTGTGTGTGTGTGTGTGTGTTGGTCTGTTAATTCCCACATCTGGTTGCGGTTAGATGAAGGAGACCGCGGCTCTTCATCAGTCTGAGCCCAGACTCAAAGCGCTGTGAACTCTTTACTCCACCATCTTAATCCTCCGGCTGGAGTCACTGATTATTTTGCGCATACGCTACATTCAGCAGGATATAAATATTGCTGCTGTCAGGTTAAATCTTGTTTTGCAGGAATTCAGGGTTATTTCAAGTCACATCCAGAAAGTTTTAGAGGATTTACTAAACGTGGAAGCAGAACAGTCCTGCCACCTGTAAGGTGATACTTCAGATTAAATACTTGTACTTGCAGGATTTTTTACTTGTCATTAGGAGATCCTTCGCGACTGGAGCCAACTTTGACATGTGAAGCCATTTCTATTCAGAGAGCAGCTGCAGCTTCAAGTTTTTAATAATGTAATGTAAACTTTTTTATTATTATTTTACACAATTATTTTAGACAAACTGTGCATAAAACTATTAAATATGATAACAGCGATTAGAATAGATGTAAGTATAACCAGTAAGGCTTCGGATGTAGATTTGAGAGATAAAATCATCTTGATATTAAACAATTTGTATCACTGTGGGCTTGTGATTTTCTTTATAAGTCTTCAAACCTGGACTAGATTTTCCAAATTTCCCACCAATACTGGGGGAAAAAAGGGCCTGGATAGATTGATGTTGAGCTTCATTAAATTGTTAATTAAGTGTGCTTAATATTTATCATCTGCATCCATGTCTGTCTCCTCTCTGCTCACTCATGGCGTCTGAGTTGTGTCAGGGGAGAGCACATTTTTCCTTTTTTCCTTTCTTTGTTTTTTCCAAGCTCTGAAGTAAATACTTCATTTTTGCTATCTTTTATATGATATATTTAGAACAAACAATGTTGAGGAAATACGATTACTTTACCCTTAAATGTAGCAGAACCTATATCACACATGATTTGTCAAAAGACTTTCTGGAAGTTCAACAACTTCTTAAAGAAGACGTTCCTTTCAAAGTTGGGTTTTGGGGTTCAGAAGGTTAAACTCTCTGAGACATATAACACCACACATCTACGGTGTTTACACATTCCAATTTAAAAGCACACAAACAAACCAACGTTAAAACTTCCCAACTACAAGGGCTAGTGCTTTTATAATTCACTCTTGATATATAGTCATGACTGGATGATCCGACCCTGAACAATCCTAAACCTGCTACCCGACAGGTTTTTAAGAAAAACCAACAGAACCCATAAAAACAGCCTTAACATAGCGACAGCCTTGGATTGTGACTCCGACATGACATTTAATGTCACCAATCAGGATGACGGCGTATTATCTGACTGAACAATCCCACAGATTGGCTACGTTCACACTGCAGGACTTGATGCTCAATGAGGATTTCTTTGTGACTTCCTTCACGTTTCCACTTCAATGCGACTTGTATGTGATCTGCTGTGTGAACTTCATACGAGCCAAAAGTGTCCCGCATGCGCAGAAGAGGACACGACGACGTCACACGCAGCGAGCGTGCTCAGTGTTTATGGAAGTAAACATGGATGGTAACGGTGGAGCGTATCTGCCACTCCCCCGCCGCCACCGATGGAGGAAACAGAAGTGTGAGCGCTAACTAAACTAGCATCAGCAGCCAAGTACTGCCTGTGTGTTCTGGACACTTCCACCCCGTCAGAGCGCTGCCCCGGGGTGGAAGTGTCCCCCGACCGCACGGACTGTTCTGATATTTATCATTAATTGGGCCTGAACATCCAGAGAGCAGAAAGTTCTATTGGGACCAGCCCAACTGTAGTTATTATAACAACTATGAACAATGATTAAGAACTAATGAGCCTTCAAGCTGCCCAACATAGAAGAAGGTTTAACATTTAGTGATGAATCATCAAGTCGCAACTGTACTTATATATTGGAAACGTGTCAGTCAAAAGCAGTCTTTCTGTATCTACAACCGCCTGCAGTAGCAGCTGAGACTTTCTTTCTCTGTACATGCAGATGCTGTTCAGTGTCTGTACACACGACTCATCTTCCTCAGTAGAGCTGCACATTAGCTGACGCTGAGAAGATCTTTCACGTTTTAGGCTGAATTAGATCAGAAGAAACTTCAACAGCTCTGACAAGAAATCAAGTTGTTGCACGAGCAGATAATGAAACACAACCACGAATAGCAGGACGTAAACAGGATGTCACGAGAATAAGAAAAACACTGTATGTTAACAAACGGGCATCGTGTTTCACAGTAAACAACATCAATAATGAGATGAGATGTATAGTCATCGTAGCTGTGTTTGTTTGCCAGTTAGACACTTGGTAGGTGTGTTTTCACTCAGACATGTACGCCACCAAACCCACTGCACTGTCACCATGACAGCCGGCGGGTTTTATGGCTTTGTGGACGTGATATTCAGCGAGTGTTCGGAGTGCACAGGACGCCATGGATGGCAGGAAAAGCCTGTTTACGGCAGCCAGATAAAACCACCGCGTCGTTTCCTTCTTTTCCTGCCTGGTTCAACAGCATTCAGACAGACTGGAACAGGGAAGGCTGCTCCAGTTCATCTGCTATCTGCCCCACAAGTACAACACAAGGAAGACACAACAAGTCGGGAATATCACAGCTTTTGTTGCACACTTGACATATTTGCTGTCAGGTCAAACAAACCCTGGAAGGAAGAACTCATTCATACAATCACACAAAGAATCAACATAGCTGGACTTGAAACTCACAAATGATGATAACAAGTACATGCAGATATTTATATATTTTATATCACCGGAGCACCAGCAGCTCAAGGACCAACGCAGTTTTATAGCTTCATTTGTTCAGTTATTTCATTTTACAGCAAGTTTGTTTTAGGATTGTATCTGAATGCAGGTGAATTTGTTCATAACTGGAGGTGATTTGAATACTTAACACTCTTTATACTTTAGAGAAGGACTGACTAGAAGTGCTGCTGTTGGTGATGCTGCTTTTGTCTAAGAATACATGATACATACATTATCCTCAGGCTGCTTCTGCTAAACCACCTATTCATGTTTGAAATCCTGGTCAGTAGTCGATTTTATTAGGACTTAGATTGTTACTTTCAGAAGATTACTGAGAAATGACATAAAGGTTTTGATGCTAACTGTACATTTAAAACAAAATAAAACGTTCAGTGTCTAAAGCAGCAAACAAAGCGATTCAGGTCAGCCACTTTTGACCCCAGTAAGTAAAGCAGTTCAGTTGATTGCTTTACAGCATCAGTAGTAGAGTTAAAAATGTTAGTTTTAATGGGAGGCTCAGGTTTGGATCCATCTGAAGTACGAATATTTATAGATTATGAGTTTTTGAGTCAAAAGAATGCCCATGAATGTTCTCGAGCCCAGAGCGTGTTCTTTACAAAAACATAAAACAGACAAAACAAAGCAAATGTTCACAGGAAACAACATGTTGACTGAAGCTAATAATAAAATCATCTTTAGACAGTCTGCCTGTGATCTAAGCAGAAGGATCCTGCATCTGATGGACAGACATTCTGGTGAAAACATGCATATCAACCATCTATGATCATCTCTCGCCCTGCAGATGATGTCTTCTCAGAGATCAGCGACCCTGCCTGGATGGCCAGACTCTCTCTGCCGCTCACTGGCGATTACCACGACAATGTGTTCGTCCCCAACGGCCCTCCGTCCCCTGAAGGTGAGGTCCTTCCCCGGGACGGCCTGGACTCCTCCTCCTCCTCCTTCTCCACCTTCGGTAAAACCAAAAAGCTGTACAATATGATTTCTTTGAGTTAAAGTGCAACCCAAAGTTAAATCTACTCATTTGCTTTACATAAATGAAATTAGTGTTGATAAGAGAAGACCAGATGTGCACAAGAAGTTATTGACACATTTCATAAAGTGAACTTGTAGTAAATAGAAGTAATAACTAAGCATGTCAGATTTCTGAGGTTAAGTTTACATCCCAGCCACAGCAGCCCAGTGACACCTTATTGTATCTGTCAGGTAAAACCCCGGAGAAGGACGGCCCGCTGGGTGGAGCTTTGCTGTCTGAGGTCAGCACACTGTTTGAGATGCTGATGACGCAGAAGGCCGACGCCCATCCCGGCCCTCGGCCCGACGTCCTGTATCGACTCTCGGCTGCGTACCGCCGCTCTCTGGGCCTGGATGCTGCTGCTGGCGCCATGGCGACGGCTGCAGGCGTCTCACCAAAGAAGTGTGGGAATGCTGAGAAACAGTCGGGCCTGACCGCGCCCTCAGGACTCCACCAATAAGTGTAACATCTGTTCAGTGAACACTGGAAAAGACTGAGAGCAGAGCGAGTCTCTGTGTTTGAGGAGAATGTAGATAAAATATATGATTTAGACTGTAAATAAGATGAGGATGAATGAAGTCTTACTGACGACAAGTCTGACATTCAGATGGTGGAATAAACAGCAGGACTGAGCAGCTGTCAGACGAATCCACATACAGCATTTTACTGTCTCCACAGATCGCATTGTTTGTGCTCTATTACACTGTTTTGTTCGACAATGTTGTTTCCCAAACTAGCATGACCAGACACATTAATGAGGAACACAGCAAGGTGCAGTCAACCAGAATTGCCCTTTAGGAAAGATAAATATGAAGTATCTCCTCGTTTGCACAAACAAAACCAAAGATCAGGGAAAATATACAAGTTGAACATTAAATATTCTGTCAAGTTTAACCCTTTGAACTCTAAGAATAATGTGATTTTCGTCAAAATCTCAGGCCATTAGCCAAAAATCAACCACTGAAAAGAGATCCTGTGAAAACCAAAAACAATATCTGTGTTCTGTGACGCAAATGAGAAACTATGACCGAATCACAAAAGAGTTTTCAGGTATGTCAAAGTCTGAGAGGAAATTTAAACACAGCAGATCAATACAACAAATGCTACACGGCTCAAAAATGATGAGCAAGTTGTTTAAGGACACCTTCAGCATGGTGAAACATCTATTTAGAGTTAATGTACAGAGTAGTAGGAAAAGACAAGTTTGCAGAGGCTGTAGAAGGTAGAAACAGTCTCAGTCAGTCAGTCTATGATGGAAAAATGTTGAACATACAGCAAAAAAATGAGCTCGCAGTGAGGAAAAATGTGAAAAAAGCATCCAGAACTGCTGGATTACGCTTTGCAAAACTATCCTCTGACAGGACGAACGCAAAAATCCAGACGCAGAGTTCTTCACTCCCAAGTTCTTTACAATCTGACCTTAATGAGCTACCAGGATGTGAAACAGAAAAACAATGCAAGGAAACAGATCACTCAGGAAACAAACTACCTCTTTGACGCCAAACACGCCCAAAAACTAAAGAGAAGAGGCGAAGGAGAGCCTGCTCAGTTTGATTCCGTATGTGGGTCAATCTTTGTCTTCACCTATTATAATAATTATGTCCGTTTGTGACCTTATGCTACGAATTTTCGCTTCTCATTCTTTCCCTGGAGGCGCAGTGCTGCGTTTAGTTGTTCTCCAAGCTGTAAAAATTTGTGCTTATGAATTGTTTTTCATTGTGAGGATTAGACATTGAGGTATTTTGCTTCGGACCAGTAGGTAGACAGACTGGGGACGTCACCATCACACCAGTTTATACACACAACTGTACTGGAACTCACAGATCCTGTCAAAAGAAAATGGTGCTACAGTATATAAGTCACTTACCTCCAGGTTCAGGAATAATGGAACGGAAGAGAGTGCAAGTAAGTCAGACTGAAAGAGGAAGGGGATCGCTGTTTTTAGACATTTTCTTTCATTATATTCACTCTAAAGATGCAAATATGGAGAAAAAAAAAGCCTGATAGCTTAATATTTGATTGGATCAGTCCACAAAATTGAAAAATGTTTCCTTTATCGCAAGAACGCTGTCGGCATTGCAGGACGCATCGAATATGACGACATTAGAAACTTTTTAAGTAGTCTTTGGTGAGTTATCAGGAACCAGACGACACATCGAGGGAATAAAAATGAGCTGTAGATTGGGACACCTGCAGGGAATGTACAATAGATCTGGTTGCTTTTTTTTCTTTCTTTTTTTTGTGTTTTTTCCCTGAAAACTTCATGTTCCTAATTACTGTTGTTATGAGGTTATTAGGGCTCAAAAATGCTGAAAAAAAGTAAAAAGTGTGAAGTTCTAAACCACCTCTGTACTTCAGTGACCTGTAAACCTGAAACTGTGCAGCGTCATCAAATATACTGACGCTATTGTATGAAGGAAGGTTGATTAACGGGTGAGGAGGGAGGAACTTGTGAATTTTACATGTATAATCTCACACCTGAAACTTTACAGCATCTAAACTGTCGTCAGCTCAGGTCAGCTCGGTTTATTGAACTCCTTTGTTGTTCAGGTTGAATCCGGCAGAAAGCGAGCCGGCGACCAGGAGGAAGTATTGTTCTGTGTTTGTTCTTCCCTCAAGAATGAAAACAACCAGCTGAAGGTGGAAAAGAAAAAGTGTTTGTTTAGTCTGAAGCTCTCCAGCTGTTTCTGAGTTTCCTCTAAAGTTGTTCTGTTTTTGTCCTTTTCATAACTTTCAGCACTTTGTACATAATTATTGTGAAGCTTTAAAAAAAACAAAAACAAAAAAAATCATTTTTTTAATGCAAAAAAGTCTTTTTTTATGAATTGAAAATAACTTGTAACTTTTTAAATAAAGAGCATCGTGTTTAAACTTACAGGCTGTCGTTCATTTCAAGGGTAGAACTTCCAATTAGAGTTTCAATGAAAAAAACAGGATTGATGATTTAGATTTTCACCTGAACAGACTTAGAGGTCTCTCTCTCTCTCTCTCTCTGTGTGTGTGTGTGTGTGTGTGTGTGTGTGTGTGTGTGTGTGTGTGTGCAAACATCTGTTCACGTTATGGAGATTCTTCTTTCATTTCTGAACTTTAGGATGAAGACTTTTATTTTTGGCTGTGGTCTGATTAATGTTGGTTTAGATGTGGGCGACACACAGGTGAGTGTTTGGCTGTTGAACACTCAGGTGTTTGTGTGTGCAGTGCGCCCCCTGCAGTTTAAAAGACACACTTACACCGTATGATTTCATCCCAAACATCAGCAGTAGCTCCACCTGCTGAAAACAGACGTTATCTGATCTAATAAACTTTCATGCAATAAAAATGAACTTATGGCCTCTGCAGACACAAATATGAACAAAACATGTTGAAACTATGAACAGTGCATGTAATCAGAGCTCAGAAATCCTCCTCTTGTGAAATAAAAATACATTTGTTTTTTTGTTTTGTTTTGTTTTTTAAAAAAAGTAATTTGTCATTTTAACTGTGACACACAGCACAGGAAACATTTCTGAATTCTGTGTATTTCTAGTCATTGCTGTGCTGGCTCCATCGAGGTTCAGGTGAAAAATGAGCCCACAGTGAGGAGAGACATCCAGAAACTGTTTGGGGTTCTAATAAATGTGATGCACCACTTCAGTGTGGCTCTTTGAATCCCAGTGACAC